AAAAAAAAAATGTGGGGCTGACACTTCCCCACACCGCGGTGCCTTTCTTCCTGAACTGGACCTCCCTCTACGGCAGATGTCCGCCTTGGCAGATTTTCGACACGGAGACGTTCGGTTGTCCGCTTCATTATTGATTCGCCCCCCTCTTTCGATGAATCGCACTCGGTCCATACCAGCGAGACACCTTCGGCTCTGCCATGGTGACTGTCAGTGAATGCTCGCCTTGTCTGGGTCAGCCGCAAGCTGAGTCGACGCCCTATTTGCGAGCGACGCTTGTCCATCTCGCTGCAGAGGTCAGGAACGGAGGATCGGCGAGCCTCGGAGCATGCAAAGTGCTCGCCGCTTGGCCCTCTGGTCTGCATTTGACCGTCCCGAGGCGTAATTCTCCGAGGGCATCGACGTGCCGGTCGAGGCTTCATGCAGGCGGCGAGTGCATGAGCATCTCGGCCAGGCGTCTGTGCGAACCATTGCAAGACAGGTCACAGGGTGTGACTGCGGAGTGATGAGCTGAGGCCCACCAAGGATCGTGCTAGCATGCTCCAGCATGTCATACAGCCCGTACAGCCCCTCGCGCTGCGTCTGGTATCTAGGGCGTGCGGGAACGGGATGTGATTCGTCGATCATTTCGAATTTTGGTTTTGCGTGTGTACCTTTCCGTGCGCCGCTGCCCGTTGCTCTGCGGCTCTGCTGCTGCAGCTGGGGGCGCTTCCTCGTAACCCCACACGCCGCCAAGTCGACTTATCGTCACAAGACCGCATCATGCCATCCCGATCGTGAACGGCGCCTAACCCTAACCCTGCAGAACGCCAAAAGCGTCAGCTTTGCAGATAACTTGCTTGCATTGCGAATGACTCGATGGCGAACGTTGGCTTCTTCAGGGCTACCCTTCTGCGTTCAATCACTCGAATGACGGAAAATTATGGCGGGGTCGCATCATTGGTCAGTCTGAAAGACAAAGCACATGACGATGCCTAGGATGCTTAGCAAGTTCTTGGGCTTCTGCTCCCTGATTCGTGCTCGTCGTGACCTGGTGGACGCAATCCGGGCTTGGCAAATCGCGCAGCCAGCCGGGATGACCTGCACCAACATGGCAAGTTGTGCTCCCCTGTCTCCTCTCACGCTGTATCCCGCACATCGTTCGACGCCGGAAAGGAATGTGTTCCTATCGGGCCCAGAAGCATCTGGGGGGGGGG